AAGTTCGAAGCAAAATGCAGTCTTCATACAATGTCACTCGATTGTAAGTGAGTACCCCGCTCTCCTACAAGTAAAGATGTGCGACAAATGTAATGACTCGTTGGCTGATATGCAAGGAGTCTACCACAAGTGTTAAGATGCTTATACAGCCTATAATAAGGCAGTGGAAAGCATATGAATCATCTTCTACAAGCAAGGGAGATTTGATATACAACAAATGTAAGCACCTACGATCCTTTGTAGGAGGCCTGCTGTATATGCGACACATGTTTGTCAGCAAACGTGAAGGATTTGCAATACATTACAAACATGTATGAGCATGATGTAATAGACTCCTACAACAATCCCTACCAGTGCCTGCAGATTGAGATGACAATACTGTAAATTGATGGTAGAAAATCCATCCTTGCAAACAAGTACGCCAAACCCACCTGAGATTGGTGAAAGGTGGATATAATGCAGAAACAATGGCTCTTCTACGAATACCTTCAGGAGGTCATAGTGAATACAGCGGGCCCCCGTAAATACACACGAGCCGCTTGTGGATAACAACAGTGGGTATATCGTAAACACAGCGAACCACTATGGACACAAGTAAAAGTGTCACCTACAATAGCAGTGATTGAGATTCGCAAGTACGTCGGGTATGAAGATAATTCGATGTACGGAGAAAGGACATCTCCTGACAGAATGGAAGAGATGTTTGAACAAATTCGAACTAAACTTCCTCGTGTTCCAAAATTTCTTCTTGGTCCTATACTTAGGAAGAAAAAAGCTCTGGTATCCATAAACACCAGAAATAACATGTCTACTACATTAAAGAGCTTAAAAGAAGTTCTTTCAAGACAACGGTCACTAATTTCAAAGTCTAGAAAAACGTCCCGGTGAACGAGAAAGGGGAGTCAACATCAAGATGATGAGATGCCTCATGACATCCAAATAATACCGCCACCGGATCCGCGACACTCGTATTAGCGGACATAAGGCATATATAAGCTCTCAAATAAAATATTGTATGTATTCAAATGGCAATTACCTGCACAACTAAAATATTTCAAAGTACCCCCACACATGCACCATAATCTGTATACACATATGTACACTAAAAGGGGGAGTATACAATCACTAAACATGCACGGGCCCCGGCGAGCGTGTTATCAGTACACACGTGACATCTAGAGATACTGCGCGGGTTAATAAGTGGATTCAAGTTCGAACTTGATCATTCAATGCGGATCAATAGGAGTCGACAGGGTTCGAACCATCAAACAAATATACAGTTGCGGCGATCGATGTATTTGTCTTAATACATTCATATTAGGCCTTCAAGGCCTATAATTGAGAGAATTCACTTACAAGGGCATAAAGCCTACAAAACTCGATCACCTATCAGAAAGTTGATAGGTTCAACAAGGTTTAATCAAATGGAAATGATCCCCTTCACCCCAATGATGGCCGTGCTGAATGCAAATCTCAACCGGAGGGGTTAATTTCAAGCATTACAAACTGCTCCCAAACATCTGCATGGGCCCTGGCGAGCGTGTTATTGGTACACATGTGACGTCTAGGGATGCTGCGCGGGTCAATAAGTGAATTCAATTCGAAACCGATCCTTCTGTGTGGATCAATAGGAGTTGACAGGGTTCGAACCTTCAAACAAATACACAGTTGTGGTGACCGATGTATTTGTTATAATACATTCATATTAGGCCTTCAAGGTATATAATCAAGAGAAATTACTAATAAAGGGCATAAAGCCTACGAAACCTGACTCTTCTAAGCATGTAAATAGAAGTAGACAGGGTTCGAACAATCAGATAAATATGCGATCACGAAGTCGACCGAAATATTTATTTTATACATTCATATTAAACCTTCAAGGCCTATAACAATGAGAATTCACTAACAAAGACATAAAGTCTACGAAACTCGATCCCTTATCGACAAGTTGATAAGGTCAACAAGGTTCATGCTTTAAATGGAAATAACTCCAAACACCCCGATGATGGCCGTGTTGAATGCAGAGCTCAACCGGAGGGGTCAACTTCAAATATCCAAAATCCCATCCAAATGATTATCAAAACTCCACAGAAATTCCAGAAATCCTAAAATCTTAAAAATATTTAAAATTGAAATAAATCTATCAAAATACTTAAAGAAAAATACATCCATCCTCCACAATAGTTTGCCTAGGTGGACAAATTAAAATTTACTTCTGCTCACATAAAGCAAATGCCTAGTCAAAAATATCACTATGATATATTCTCAAGTAGTCTCGTGCCAATAAGGACGTGGTACGTGTCCTCTAATCGACTGTTTTGCCGCCAAATGGCACCGCAGGATAAACGGTTATGACTCGGGGGCCTCTGAACCGAGTGGTTTTTACACCAAATGGCACCACGAAATACCGGTTATGACCAGAGTCAATACATTCCTTAATGGCATCAAATCCTTGAGATATGAATCAATAGGATATTATTGATAGGACACAAAGCCTTCTGTTGACCAAGGTGGATTTAAATGTCCCCTTAGATAAATATTCACCCCATGTCTACAAGGTCCCCTTGGATGAAACAACCCATGGCTGCCGACAAGGATCCTTCTGTTAGGTTGGGTCGACTACCTCCTCTGACTAAATCGACCAGAGACCAAGATGGCCCGGGATGACGGAACCATGAGATCTTGATAGGGTCCATCATTCATTCCCCCATCATCCGCTTTAAGTGTGAGATTGTGAAATTTCCAATTATAAATCTCAAATCTCCAAATCTTCCAATCCTCCAAATTCCCAAATTCTCCAACCATTTCAAATGTCTATGCTGCTACTATATGCCAGATAACACGTATATTCTACGTATCGGATAGACGACTAGCCTTAATCGAAAGTTCTCTCTCGTGTTGAGAGGTGTAATTAACTATAGGGATTTGCGCCAATAGGAAACCAGAACTCAGATCATAAAGTCCTTGCAAAATGAGGACGAAATCTCTAGGTAGTGTCTTATCTATAAACCCATCTACCATCCAAAATTTACCCCGAAACTTAATCTCGTTAAAACTCCCCCTCGAAAGAAAAGCAAAGCGGGCGAAGACCGAGGCTGAATTTTCGAAGCCCACAAGATTGATAGAAATTGCTTGAGACCTACAAGTGTTTCCTATCACACATCATTTGTAACATTCTTAATATCGCTAGCTACTATTTTTCACATAACATTAGCTTCGTCATGCACGAACAAAATATTATGATCTAGAATCTTACTCTCAAAAATATTTTTGCTACTATTTTTTAAAAACCTCCATTTAATCCGAGAATAATGTTTTACTTTATTTTTTTATAGTTTGTCCATTCATCTTAACAATCAAAACTAATAAACGATGTTCGGTACATAAGCTTTTACTAGGAATAACTTTACGATCTTTATAATCTAAATGATCTTATTTTTTTTTTAAGTAATCAATTTGAGTTTTACTATATCCAATCTTATAAGTGATTAGATGTTTATCTCTTTTCTTAAATAAGGTATTAGTAATTGCAAAATCATAAGCTATAAAAAAATCTAATATAGTCTTATCACCTTCATTAGTCACTTCAAACTCATCCACCATGAATGTTTTTTTAAAATCATCTACCTCTCTACCAACATATCCATTTAAATCTCCTCCAATATTTTTTTTAAGAGATATCTTTTATATTAATTTTTATAAGTCATTTCAAAATTTTAATTTTGAACACATATTCAAATCTACTTAAGAAACATAAGCACTTATAATACTAATAATTATAACATTAACAACAATCTATATGGCTATAATTCTATCTCTAATTCTATTAATTTTTAAAAAAATTTCTTCAAACTCTTATTTATAATCACACCTATACCATTTCTAGTACGATTTTTACCAGAATACTATAGTTTAAATCTAATACTATCAATCTCCTTAGCCTTCTCCAACCCATTTAGTTCTTGAATGCATAGAATATTTATCTTCCTAAGAATCATAATATATATTAATTCTATTAATTTTCCTATAAGGGAACTTATATTCCAAGATTATATCATAATTTTAGTTTCATGGACTAACTTCAAATTGAAAAACAAACAAATAAGAGAATTAAAGTGTTGAGGGGAAGGCAAGGAAGAGTGTGGCTCCTTAAAAAAGCAATGTGGGTATGTAGAATGAGAGGAAGGGGTGAATCAAAAATAATATATTAGAAATGTAGATAGCACAAGCAAAAGAGACTTCACCCAAAAATTATTATTATTTTGAAGAACTCACCCGGTCACTGGCAAGTTCCTTAAAATAATATAAAAAATAAGCCACCAAATAAGTCGACAGCATGCTCTGTTTGATACCTTTTCTTCACATAGGCTCCTTTGGCTAAAGCAATATCATAGCATGCTCCTTATAAAATTCATCTTTAAAGTTTTGTGAAGCTCCAGGCATCTCCTCATGGGGAAAATTTCTTATTTGATTTAGTTGTTTGTGTTTTGGATTTTGGATTTTGGATATGATTAAAACTTAAAATGGATGCTTACTTTAAATTAGTTTTTGCTAATCTTATGTCAATCATTAATAACATGGGGATAAAAATTCTTAAATATATGTATTATGGCATGTAATTTATATCTTGATTAAATAAAAAACAAGTTTCTTTCAATTTTCAATCATGCTAGTACAAGTTAGATTCAAGGTTCCTTCAAGTATATTCAAATGCGACTACCTAATTCCGATGAAATCAACTCCTTGTACCGGCGAGGCTTGGATTTCTTAATTTGATGAGTGCTTTCATTTATCTAACTTCGAACTTATTTTTTACTCATTAGTATTCCTTGTTCAAATTTGACAAATATGAAATACTTATTATGGTGAACAAATTGCAAATTAATTTTAAGTAGTTCTAATTTCTCATTGATTTATTTAAATTTATTTGATCATTATATTATTGTGCAGACTCTAATTCTCATTTTTACATTCCTAGAGATGTCATATCTTATTAAATCCAATGTAGGTAATTATAATTTATTCAAGGAAAGACATGAGGGACGCCTGAATCCTGATTGGTTTTTCCTTTCAATAATATAAATTAGGACATCACTAAAAACAAACCGACTAAATCTCAAAACTTCTCACTCAATGGTCAATACTTGTTGCAGCGTGATAACGCGATTCAAATTTTGCAAATAATTTAACATGTGTAATAACGTATACTCCTTGCATAAACTGCCATCCAAAATTAGCCGTGTTAATCGCAGCCAATCATCAACGAAGAGGATAATGCTGCTTCCGTATAGTGCGCGACATATAAGAAAAAATAATTTATGTGAGAAGAAAATAGCGGAAGTGGTAATGAATTAAAATAATATTTACTTACTGCTGAGGGCGATGCCCTCCAGAAGAAAAACCATCTGTTGATGTGAGATACAACAAACCTCCGGTCTTGACCGCAGCAATCGCTGATCTGATAAACGAAGAATCGCTACCGAACGAATCCACGTCAACGAGATCGAAGTAATCCCTCAGCAGATATCTCTCTACGAGAAGCCTGTTGGCATCATAATGAGTGATCACCCAACTTCTTTCCCCTCCCGCAGAAACCCTAGGAGCCACAGATGAGAGGTTGAATGCAATGAGGCCACGATTTCCCTCGAAGGCATCGTTGGCCCAAACGAAGTCAGCCTCGCTTTGGACGAGGTAGCGGATGGAGCGCACGCCGCAGCCGCACATTGCATCGAGGACACGGAGGCCACCGCCCAAGGAGCGGCGTTGGAGAGCAGCGGCAAGGACGCCAAGGTCACGGCCGACGGCGCTCTCGTGACGGAAGAACGAGTCGCCGGTTTCGAACTCTACGCCCCTCTCCTCCACTTTGGAGGTGGATACGACCAAAGGCTTTCCCAGTTGCAGGACGCCTGGCTTTGCGGTTCTAGGGTTTTTATTTTTTATTTTGACGGGAAAAAGTGGAAGTGATGCCCTCGACAGGTTCTGCGGGAGAGATTGGTATCCCATTCTTGAAGACGAGGCCATCAAGTAGCTAGCGAAGAACTGAGCGTAATAGGCTATGTGTGTAGAACTCGACCAATATTCCAATATATTATTATATTGAATTTGATTTCCATCATCATGCTTAGCAAAACACCATAAGGCAGTTAGCCTCTCTCCCTAAAATCATCAATTCTCTCCCTCTAGCAATTTTTGGAGTCGCCAACTCCCTCACTACAACCATAGTCAAATTCAATTAGAATATGCAGTATAGCTAGGGTTGCAAATGAACCAATTTGAGCCTAGCTTCAGTATGTTTGAACTCAAGTTAGTTTTCCATATTTTTATTCGAGCTCGGCTCAATAAGTGACGAGCTCTTTCGGTCACTAATCCAGCTCGAGCTCATTTAGAAAACCCATACTCAAGCTCCATTCATTTTTATGTTTGAGCTCGTTTATTTGGGCTTATCGAGCCTCTTAACGAACAACTCATTCACGTGTCCACTTTAGGCTTAACGAGCGGCTCATTCATGTGTCCTCCCACACATCGATTCAAACAAAATAAACAAATTAAATCTCTGCTCAAAAAGTAAATCCATTCTGCGTCTCCGGCTTCCCACTTTCGTTCGAATGTGGTTTCCATTTTGTTTTTTTTTTTTCATTTTATATAACAAAAATGAATCGGCTTTTCATGGTATGGGACTAAGGAGCATGCAGGAGCCCACACGAGTAGGTTTTTTCATTTTTATATTTTGGAAGCTGAGCAGAATCGGATAGGCTAGATAGTGGGAGCGGGATTTTTAAAAAGATAAAAGTTAAAAAATGTGTATTAAATTAGTAAAAGTAACATATTAAATTTAATTGAATTCTAATTGAGCATCTTAATAGAGCTCTAATCGAGCTTTTAATGAGCATATTCACAACTTTAAATGATACTCTTTGTGAACATAAACGAACTGAATGCCAATCTATCAAGCTTGTTTATTTAGTTATCGAATATTTAGCAAAAGTGTTCAAGTTTATTCGTTTACCTTATCAAATAAACATGAATGAGGTCTTATCGAGCCGTGTCACGAGCAGCTCATCAAACGCTCGGTTCATATGCAGCCCTAAGCATAGCTACGATTCTAATAATGAAAAATATGATGTATTTTGTGAGTTTTAAATTGGTGTTTCACACAAAATCGAAATAACCTAATTATCATGTAGCTTCTTCATTTATTGTATATTTTTCAATTAAGGCTCCGTTTGGGACAATTTCTTACTACTTCTTAAAGTAGCATTCTAATACAAAAATTAAAAAAAAAAATTCACTATAAAGATTTTTTAAGAAGCAGTAAGAAAGCCGTCCCAAATAAAACCTAAGTTTGCAATATATAGTCGTCCATCGGCAACCTTTCAATCATCAACCCTAGCCTTTTTAGTCATCAATGTTAAATGTTTGTTTTTGTTTACCTGATCATCTTGAACCTCATGCATGAAATACCTTTTATTTTGAAATTATAATTTCAATTTTGTTACTATTGTTATTATTTCTTGAAGACATGAAATATTTAATCAAGTAGCAAACCTAAAGTAGATGGTAACATGATTTTGAATTAACAAATCAAGCCTCCGTGCTACTATTGTGTAGCATTGGCCATAAAAATGATATAGTCATTATCTTATTTTTCTCTTGGCATAGTTGTCAGATGATTTGTTGATGAGAATGGTTAATAGGGTAGGGGATCTCTAGGTTCTAAAAAAGTTGTATTTATTAGATGAGATGAATTAATCAAAATCTTCTTGAAACAAATATGTTGGCATGATAGAGCCATTTAAAAAACAAAGAGGTAAAATGTTTTTAAATATAAGTATATATGAGGAATATAGAAATCAATTACAATTTCCATACTGAAAACCCATTTTATATATTTACATATAATAGAGAGTCTATATATAAATTAAGAGAGAATGGAATAATATTATAATCAAGCATAATTCAACAAGTTTGTTAGTTGATAAATAATCATAAACCAAAAACACTTCTCCCGCATTGGCAACTACTTCGACGAGGTACTCTAAAATTTGAGCGATGTAGTGCTGGAATGTAAATTTTTGCCCTAAGGTGTTACAAGGCTCGGTGCTCTGACACTTATTTTCCCGAGGTTCCAATATTACGGTGCTGAATTTGTGCAGAACTTTGATATGTAACATTGCAACACTAATATTAGTGATGTTGTGGTTCTTAAAAAATGAGAATTCAATGTTACAATGTATTAATCTAGCACCAGAGTGTTATGAAATTGTACGTTGTGAATCTTTTATTGATTGCGCTGCGACGCTGGTCAACACTTGTAGTTTTTTCCTTTTCTTATATATTTTATACACAAATATAACTAAAATAATATGATTTTACTTAATTTAAACATAATAAATAGTACATAATCTACACTTAATAGTGTCATTATTAGGCATCAATAATAATAATAATGATAAGAAACAACCTTTTAAGTATTGGTGTTCATCAACATTTGTGTCAATGTTATGCCTCAATCTTATTAAAGATGGCATAATCAGTGTTGTTATCAACGAAATATATCATTCTTATTTGTGATAATGTTTGTAATATTAGAAAATATTATTTATATGTGCAAAAGAAGGTATTGAGGTTGATGTTTATTATGGGAGATATCCTTATTGCAAATAACATATGTTAATGTTGGTGTTTATAATGTATATCAATTTGATTAGTGATGGCATCCATTTTCATAGGTGTTGATGGTAAGAATATGTAACACTTTCAGAATTAGTATACAATTTTATCTATTCTAACCTAATATGATTTAAGGTAATCCATAAAATTTTTACATGTGAACCCTTTTGTATGTGTTTGAAAGTATTTTGTATGCACGTGAAAGTATGCATTGTTGAAACTTGTTCAATATGAATTAGGTTGTCAAATTTAAGCTTATGTCCCAGCGGCTAACCAAGAGGGGGTGAATTGGTAATTAAAAATTAATCCCTCTTTTAAAAAAATTTAAAACCGAGAATTAACTTTAGTGAATTTTATAGAAAGAGATTTTTCAACCACAAGTTAAAACAGTAAAAATTAAAAGGCAGCGGAAAATAAAAAAGACTCAAGATTTATAATGGTTCGGCCAAACACGACCTACATCCACTCCCCGGAGGCACCCTCCGAGTATTGCACTAATACAACTAGTGACTCTCCTTTTGCACCCACAGCAAGGCGGAGAAACCTTTACAAAACTCTCTTCCAACACTACCCGGTGCGGCAGAGAACCGTTGTCATTTTATACTCTTTCCAGTGTTAGTAGAGAATCGTCTGTCCTTTCACACTCTTCTGGTGTAGGCAGAGAACCCTTTATCCTTTCACACTCTCCAAGTGTGGGCAGAGAACCCTTTGTCCTTTCACACTCTCCAACTATAGGCAGAGGACCCGTCGGCTGTTCACACTCTCCAAGTGTAGGCAGAGAACCCTTTGTCCTCTCATACTCTCCAAGTATGGGCAGAGAACCCTATGGCTGTTCACACTCTCCAAGTGTCGGCAGAGAACCGGATCTCCTTGATAGATCTTCTCACAAGAAATCTAAAAAGAAGAGAGAAAAGAGTGAAGTAATCAAAAACCACAAGTAGACACTCTTACCTTTGAGTACCAAGTGAAACCTTCATGATCCAGTTGTAAGAATCCTCCTTCAAACACTCTCTCACACTCTCTCCTTGATTCTCTTTTCAGTAGGCACGAAGATCAGTATGCAAAAAGATTAAGAGGCAATTCTAATTGGTCTTTATATAGGAAAGACAAAAAATTGTCCAAAAATTGCTGATTTTTAAGTCTGTACATAGTGGATCGTCATGTACGATCGTGGATCGTCCTAGACGAACTTACTTAAATCAGTTGCATACGAACCCAATGTATATTGGTACGAACTGACTTCGTACCCGATTATCATTCTGTACAAACTAAGTTTGTCCGGTACGAACAGTTATAACATGGGTCGGTTTCGACAACCTATTAGAAGTTATCAAATTTAGAAATGATAAAACATTTTCGTCCTGGGACAAATAAGAGTTCGTCTGGACAAAATTTTTATAAAGAGCATTTCGTCCTGGGAAGAATTGAAGTTCGTTTGGATGAAATTTTTACATAGAGCATTTCATACTGAGCCGAATATAGGATTTCATCTGAACAAAAAATTTTCAGAGAGCATTTCGTCCTGGGACGACTAGAAAAATTCGTCTAGACGATCAGGACTTAGAAAAATTTTCTTACTTCCTGTTCGTTCCATTGCTCTTCCAAGGGGATAACTGACTTGATCGTCTCGTACAAACATGGTTAATTCCGTACGATCAGTATGAATTTTAAAGATCTCTCCAAGTGTGTGTGTGCTAAGTTACTTAAATACAATCACTCCCTCTCAAACCAATACAATGAAAAGTACAAGCTTCAATTTACAAATTATATCATGCTGAATTTTGATTTGAAGTCTTCATTATTCTGGAGTTCGATTATCCTGAAATGTTTGTCCACACAAGAGAAAAAACAATTCTTCTAAAAAGTGTTAGGAGAAAACAAAACTTTAAAACAATAATATTTGGAATCATCAAAACTTTACAAGTTGCAAAAATATAAAACATGCAAATATTTAGATCTCACATTCACCCTATTGAATAAACACCTTGCAACTAAAAACATGCAAATGTGAAAAATTAGGTGTTCTTCCTTTTAGCAACTCATAGAGTGTTTTATTTAATTTAGATCTCACATTCACCCTATTGAGAATATAACATGCAGTGCTAACCGCCTCAGCACAAAAATATTTAGGAAGTGAGTATTCTATGAATATGACTCAAGCGGCTTTTATTAATGTTCTATTCTTTCTTTCGACTACCCCGTTCTACTGAGAGATTCTAGGTGTAGAAAAGTTGTGATCAATTCCTTTCTCCTTATAAAAATCCTCAAATCTTTCATTCTCAAATTCTTCTCCATGATCACTTTGTAAAGTCATAATTTCATATCCCAACTTTTGTTAAATCCAAGTTGAAAAGTTTCTAAATTCCTCAAATGATTCATTTTTATGAAAAAGAAATCTAACCCATGTGAATCTAGAGTAATCATCTACGATCACAAATCCGTATACCTCCCTCCTAAACTTACAGTTCCAACTGGTCCAAAAAGATCCATATGCAAAATCTCCAATGGTTTAG